AATAATATATTATTTTAAAATAATATTAAAAATATAATATAATCTCTAAATATTTATTTAAAATTAGAAATTTATTAATTCTTAATAAAAGAAAAAATTAATTAATTAGAATTTATTTGAAAATTTAATAATTTAAATTAATTAAAATAAAAATTTAATAATTAGAGAGATTAAATCTTTAATAATAAATATTATAAAATTTTTTTTTAAAAAGTTCTTTATAATTATAGATAGTCTCTAATTATATTTAATAATTAAAAAAATTATATTTAATATTTTAAAAATTAGATTTTATTATTTTTTATCTAATATTTATAAAGTTACTTATTTTATTTATAATATAATATATATATAGTTACTTAAAGTTAGTTTTAAATTATATTAATAATATTATAAAAAGAATAAAATAAAATAATAAGCAGATTTAAGAAATATATAATTATATTTTTTAATTATAAATAAAATATTAATTTTAATAATTATAATAAAGATTTCTTAATATTTTTATTAAATGAACAAATAATAAAAAATATCTCTAAAAAATATAAATAATATCTAGATTTTTATAATAATCTCTTTTATCTTAATTTATAGAATATAAAAAAAGCTTTAAGAATTATTATTCAGCTTATAAAATAATATAAGCTATAAATTAATAAAAAACTATTATTTTATAAATATAAAATAAGAAATATATCTTTAACTTCTAGTAAGAAATTAGATCTGAATAAAATATTAGATTTTAATAAAAATAAAATAAAATTATTAATACTAAGTCTGATTAAAAAAAAATAAGATAAGAAGCAAAAATCTATTAAAAATAAAAAAGAATTAAAAAAGAACATAAAAATAATCAGAAATATAAGATTTAATTTTAATTAAAAGAAAAATCTAATATTAATAAAAAAAAATCGGGCTTCTGCTTTAATAAGAAAAAAATCTAATTTTAATTAAAAAAAATAAATAATAAAAAATAAGATTTTATTTTAAAAATATTTTTTATATAATTTAGAAAATAAGCTAGTATTATAAAATTTTTTATAATTTATTATTAAGTTTTAATAATTATTTTTTTTAATATATATAAATTTATATTATTATAATATTATTTTAATTAATTAGCAAGATCTTCTTTTTAGAATATAATTTATTATTTAATATATCTTTTAAAAATTTATTAGTTCTATTAAACTTTTTTTTTAAATTTATTAAATTAGTCTTATCCGATATAATCTGATTCTAAATTATAGATTATATTTAATAAAAAATATAATAAAATAATATTTTTTAATTAAGTATATATATAAGTTTTTTTATTATAATAATATAATATAAAAGTAATAAGAATAATAATATTTATAAATATAAAATATAAATATTTCTAAGAATTAGTTATTTAAAAATATATATATAAAAAAATTTTCAGAAGATTATTTTATTATATAATAATATATTTAAGATTTATTATATTTATTATAAGTAATATTTATTTTATTTATTTTTTTAAAATTTTTATATTTTTTTAATATAGTATTATTTACAGAGCAGATTATATATTAATAAAAGTTTTAAAAAAATAACTATTTAATTATTTTTTATTAATTAATTAAAAATATATTATAATTCTAACTTAAGTTAATTTTTAAAAAATTAATTTTTTTTTTATTTTTAGACTTAGATTTCTGCTTATATATTAAAAAACTTTATTAATTAAATTCTAAAATTTATTCTTATTATATAATTATTATTTAATATTATTAATTATTTATAATTTTAATAATTATTATAATTAACTACTAATTTAGATTAATTAATTAAGATTTTAGATTATTATATAATTTATAATTAATTAATAAATAAATCTTATACTAAACAGCTAGAGATACTTAATATTATTTTAAATAATATTAAAATCTTAATTATTCTTAATAATTAAACTAGTTTACAGTAAAAATCTTTTATAATAATTATTAATTATTTTATTAATATTAATTAATAATATAAGAAAGTTCTTTTCAAATTTAAGTCTCTGAATAAAAATTATGTAAATAATTAAATAATAAAATTAATTATTAAAATTCTTATTTTTTTTAATCTTAAAAATCAGATTTTATATTTGTAATAAATAATATTATTAATAATAATTTAATAATAAAAATTATTTAAGATTAGTTATATATCTAATTTAAAAATTATAATTTAAATAAGCAGATTCTTAATTTAGCTCTTATTAAACTAATTTAATTATAGATTTATATTTTTTATTTTATTTATATTCTATAACTTGCTTTAAAAAACTTCTTATTTTTTTTAAAATTAAAATAATAAATAATTAAATTAAAATAATATAAAAAAATAATTTATTAAAATATATAATAGATATTTTCTAAATAATTAAAAAATATATATTTTATTAAAAATTAAAATTATATTAATAAATTCTCTTTATATAGATTTATAAAATTATAAAATTTATTAATATTAATTTTTTTTATAAAATATATATTATAAAATATAAAATTAATATTTAAGATCTTAATCTTTTTTAAAATTATAAGACTTAATAAAACTTAATATATCTTATATTTTAATATATAATTATTTTTTGAATATTAATTAATTTATTATAATATAAATATAAGAGAATCTTATATAATTATTTTTTATCTATACTAAATAAAAATAATATAAATGTTTTTTTAATTTTATATTTTTTTTTATAATTTTATCTTAGCTCTTTCTAGCTTTTAAGATTTAATAATAAATAAAATATTTAGTATTTATAATATTTTTTTTAATATTTAAAAAATATTAGTAAGCTTTTTTAAAATAAAAAAGTTTTATAAAAATAATCTTTTTAAAAATATTTAAAAAAATATAAAAAAAACTTTATACTTATTATTCTAAGATTTATTATAATTAAAAATATATTTATATTATTATTATTATTTTTTTTTATAATTAAAAATTTAGATTTTTAGCTCTGCTGACTAGACTGATAAGAATAAGAATTAAAAATATAAATATTAAAAAATTTTAAAAAATTATATAAGTTTTATTTTATTTAATATCTTTTATTTTATATAATTTGTATTATTAATTTATTATTAAATTTATTAAATTAATTTATTTATATAAAAAAATATTCTTTCTTAAATTTAAAATATTTCTTGATTTATTAAATTAATAAAATTAATAAATATTTATAAAACAATATATGTATTATCTCTATAATTTATAATTTTATTTAAATATAAGATTTTAATTTAAATTAATTTTTAGATTCTGTTAAGATATTTCATATTTTTAAATAATAAAAAAATAATATTTTTTAATTTTTAATTCTTACTATTATAGCTTGGGATTTTCTTTTTATTTTAATTAATAATATTAATATTAAATAATTATTTAATTTATTATATAATATTTATTATTATTATTAAAATTATTTATTATCAGAGACTATTTATATTATTATAATTTAAATATATATTAAGAATTTTATTTTAAAATAAAATTTTTATATTATTAAAAATAATAATAATAATAATCTTAATTTAAAATTAAAGAATAATTTAAATAAATAAAATAAGATTTTAGATAAATATATTAAATATATTAATAAAAAGAAGAATTTAGAAAAAAAAATTTAAAAATATTAAATATTTAAAATAATAATATAATAAAATAGAAAATTCAGGCTACTTATTTTATTTTATAATTTTTATTATTAATAATCTTAAGAATATTATCTTACTTAATTTTAGTTTTATTATTATATTTATATTAATTTAAATAATTATAATAAAGATCTGTTTATTTAGACTTTTATTATAATTAAAAAAGATTATTTTATTTTTATATATATTTAATTTATAATTAATTATATATACTTTCTGTATAGTTTATATTTTTTATTTAAAATTAATTTTTTATAAAATATAAAGAATAAATAGATTTATTAATTTTAAAATTTTTATAATTATATATAATTTATTTATATAATATAAATATATTAAATTAAGAGATAAAATCTAAATTTATAAAATCTAGCTTATTTAATCTAAAATAAATTTATTAATTTTATTAAGCCAGATCTAAAAAATTTAAATCTATTTATTAAGTTTATTTACTTTCTCAAGCAGATTCTCTTGGTAAGCCGGGCTGAGCAAACCCTGAGCTGACAAGCAGGTAATGACAAGCCTAATTTTATTAATATAACTAGAATTTTCTTATTATTTTTAATAAATAATAATAAACAAAATACTAATTTCTTTTTTAATTATATTTTTTTAATTTAAAAAGTTTTTTTTTTATATATTTTTTAAATAATTATAAAGATAGTTAGATTAATAATTATTTAATCTAAGTATATCTTAATTATATTAAAACTTAAAAAAATATAGCAGATAGATCTTAATATTAAAAATAATTAAAATAATTAATTACTTAATTTTTATCTATATTATAATTAAATATAAAAATTTTTTTAATCTGATTATAATCTGATAATTAGATATAAAAATTCTAATTAAGCTGATCTGACCTGGCTGTTAGCCACTCTATATATATCTTATTTATTTATTTTATCTTTTATTTTAAAAAGTAGAATAATAAATAATTATATTATTAAATATTTAATATAAAATATAATAGATCTTTATTTTAAATAAATTTTTATAATATATATTTAATATAGAATTAATTAAAATTTAATATAATCTAAATTATTTATTATAATATAGATCTTTTAATTTAGAGAGAGTTTAAATTATACTAACTATATATCAAGAACAGTTCAGTATGATCTAAACCAGATAATAAGATAACTAACAGAATTTTAGATCATGTCAAGTTTTTTTCCAGACTATGATGAGCTGCAACCCGGTATTAATCAAAAGTGAGTGCACTGGAGACTTCTTACATAATCTGATCACAGTCCCCGCCCGTCTAGCCCTCCTGTAGCAACAGCGCCCTACGCGCCGGGTTTCAACTCATCACCAAAGTATCTGTTTTTCCGTCAATTAGTACTGATAGTACTGGCTTCATCAGTCAGTCTGGCTGGCTGACTATCAACTGATATCAAACCTCTCTATATCATTCTCCTCTCTAATCCTTCGAAGGAGGGGGCTTTCAGACCTTCAACTTTCTGGAAACACCGCGTCATGGCTACGCCTAACAACGACCCCAGATCACGAACACCGATAGGTTCAAATGGACCTCCGCCCCTGAGGATTCGTCGCCCCAAGGCAGCGGATCCTCTCGTGCGACCGAAGAGGAAACCGGGAATGAGACCGCTTGTTCCAACATCGGCTTTAAAAGGAGCACCGAAACCGCCTTCCAGACCTGTTGTTGCTAATCCAATGTCCGTACCACGGCCAGAGAAAAGCGCTCCTACATCAGCAAAGAGTGATTTCTCAGTTAACGGATTCAGTGGTCCGTTATTGTGTGACACCTACGTTGACTATCCAATCGTAACGACAAAGCGAGCGTTGCGGGAAGGTTTAAAGCATCACATTGCTAGATTCACGTCGAAGAAGTCGGTTGATCCTCGCGATGAATCTCAGTTTACTCGCCCTGTCAGGCTCCAGCGCCGAGATCCACGAACGCGGCCCCATGATTCCCATGCCGATAGAGGCGGCCAACCCAACTCAAAAACAGGTTCCGAGCAAAGTCCTCAGATGGATGAATTGGAGCGCGACGAACTGGAGGCTAGGAAGGCTGCCAGGGAAAAAGAGCGTGCAGAGAACATGGCCCAAATAGCACCATCTGTTGGATCGGCCCCAAAGAGACACAATGCACCCAAGCAAAAGACCCAGCAGGTTTCCAAAACAGACATGACCCCTGAGGAGATTGCTAGGACTCGGATCAAATATGAAGAAGCCCTACCATGGCACTTGGAAGATTTTGATAACAAGAATATATGGGTGGGAAACTATGAAGCTGCACTCTCCGAGACACATGCAGTATTCATTCTTGAGAATACAGGGAGAATGAGGATGATACCGGTGGAAAAGTGGTACCGGTTTAGCGCGAAAAACCAATTCAAGGCCTTGACAATAGAAGAGGCCGAAAGATTTATGGCTAAAAAGGTCAAAGATCCAAGGTGGTTCATGGAAAAGCAGCAAGAGCTAGCCGATCAAAGGGAACTGGAACAATTTGCCAAAAAGCAAAAAGTGTATGCCGGTAAACAAGGTACTCCATCAGGAGTTGAAGGGTTGGAAGGGGATGATATGGACTTTGAGGAAGATCGGTTTGCTGATGACGAGGAACATGACGACCTTTTCAATGAGGATGAGGATGCGAAAGCTGCCGAGAAACGAATCAAGCAAGATCAGTTGAAAGCAAACGTGTTTGATTTGAAGAATGAGAAGGACTACGAAGAGGAGGAATTAAAAGAGAAGAGAGAGAGAGAAGCACGCCGGGTCCTTGGGAAGAAAGTGCGCAAAGCCCTGCAGAAGAGAGAGAAGAATTATGATTATAGTAGTGGTTCAGATGTGAATCCTTACTCCGATGATGAGGTATGTTACTCTTTATTCTGTTTCCTATTTAATAATATTTCTTCGTCCGTCTATGCGCGTATGGCAGTCATCGCTGATCTGTCTATAAACAGAGCTCGGAAGACAGCGAGGTTGAGCGGCCCAAGGAGGATGAGGAGAGTAAAGCTGAAGAAGAGAAGAACAAGAAAGATCTCTTTTCCAAAGGCAACCTCACACCATCTGGTCGCCCGAAACACAGCGACCCTTCCAAGAAAGGCCCCAGCGTAGCGCCTCGAAAGCGACTAGGATCTCCTTCAGATGCAAGTGGCACAGATACTTCTCGCAAAAAGGGGAAAGCCAAGAATGCATCCTCCCAGCCCAACCTTCAATCATCCCGCCCTAATTCCCCCAGTACATCGTCTTCAATGCCGGTAGGTTAACTTTAACATACTACGTTTGATCAAACTGCTGACTCCACCTAGGTTAGCAAAAAACGCGTTCGCAATATACCGGTGGGTAGCGCGGCGTCTGTCAGCGACGTTGATGGTGGCGCAGGGTCCGCGGGGGAGATGAGTGAAAATGGAAAATCTAAGAAGTTGAAGCTTAATCCTCCTTCGGCGGTCTCCCAAAGTGTGACGCCACAAGGATCCAGGGCTGGAAGCCCAGCTCCCTTGGCTAACAAGAGCTTCTCGGGAAGTCGTGCCAGCAGTCCGGAGTCTTTCAGAGGTAAGTGTCTTGAGCCTCACTCATGTAGTAGGACATATTTACTGACTGGATACACTCAGGCCCAACGCGTATTTCAACACCGGGTCCATCTGGTAACACTCAAAGCTTCCCTACACCCGCGGAAATACATGCAGCTATTCCGCAATCCGGCATATTGAGTAGCGATTTGTTAAGAATCTTTCGCCCTCGCATCGGGGAATCCAAAGAGAATCACCGAAGATTCATAGCAATCGTAAAAGATGTTGGGGTTTATGGCAAAGAAGACCGACTGTTACGGCCTGGTTTATTAAAAGAAAGCTGATTTTGCATGGTCTCTCTGAATTACTATGCACTGACTCGTCTCAAGTACTGAATGGCAAGCTTCAAGTTACCTTACTACCCCTCAGTGGCCTCAATTTATAAAATGTTGCCCAGCCTTCAATGCTACTTACTGCACCATGGCAGAGTATGTCAGAGTTAGATATAATCTTATAAGGCTCCAACCGCGATGGCCACATGTCCTAATTTTTACCTTAAGCCTTCATGCTCCGTGGTGCTGTTTTTTGACTCGACCTCCCCTCGATTGGACTTAGTTGAAAGAAGATCAAGATTTCCTTTGAAATATAGACCGTTCCCTTGATAGTAGTAGCGAAGATTCAAAATATCTATAAAATCTCGGATCTCCATTGGTACGTGCTATGAACATTTCGTGTCATTTCTACATTTATCGAGGAAGGCCTAAGCGATTAAACAGTAGCTGAAGATAGTTTTATAACACCAGCGCTAGAACAATATAGTTCGGATTCAGGACGTGAAATAATAAAATGGAGGAAAGAGAGCAGTCCGAATTTATTTAAACAACCAGCCCTAGGCGCTAGTCACACCAGTGGTGCGTGAGCCGCTTTCACCATCTTCCTCATACTTCTCCCAGTTTGCAAGAATGTGTGCAATCCTTGGAGAGTTGGTAAGTCTGTAAACATCCTCGAAGTATTCCTTTGTGATCTCGAATGGCCTGGCTGTAACGTTCGGAATGTACTTGCCCACCAGCTTACTCGGGTCAATGGTAGTTTTGTTGATCTTCTTGAGCAGGAAGGATCGGAAGGGCTTGACACCGGAGCGAAGGAACGTGCTGTGGAAGGGCACGTCAATTCCCCTGAGAGGAATAGTGGCGAAGCCACGCTCGAGAGAGATTGGCTTAGGCTTTGATTCTGTCTGTTTAACGCACTCACGGATGATGTTCACTAGGTGTGCCTTGACATCATCCAATGACATACTTTGCATTAGAGCGGGAATGTCAATGTTTTGAGCCTTGAGATAATTGAGCAAATTAGTAAGGCAGTCGAGTGCTCGAAGCTATTCAAGAGTTAGATAAAACTGTGGTAGATCTCGTATCGATAAAAGATGGAACTCACATCACCAGCAGCTACATATTGCATGTTCGCGACATTGTAATTGACAATCTCCAGAAGCCAAGTAGTTTGCTCAGATATGTTCTCGACAACATATTGCAGGGCTTGTTCGTTGAAAGTCTTTGAGATGCGGCTTGGGTTGACGGCACACATAGAGTAGTTCGAGCGTCCCTGCTCATCTCGCTCCACGGCGACCTGCATGGTCAGGCCACGATAGAACACAACGGATACCAAGCTTTCAATTGGCATGACATCGGCAAGGGCTGCAAGAGCTGAGTACTCGCCGAGTGAATGACCGGCAAAGCTGCTATCTCTCTGAACGAGACCCTTGGAGCGCATATCTTCAAAACTTGCCTTCTCCATCAGTGTTAGAGCTGGCTGCGTGAACTGCGTTGCTGAAAGAAGTCCAGAGGGTGAGCGGTATGTATACGATGTTGTGTTTTCGTCAATCTCCTTGAATATCTTCTCAGACTTGATACTTCCATCTGCGTTGACTGATTCAAAGGTCATCGACATGTAGTTTTGCCTGATGGCTTTGCCACGTGGACCTCCAAAGTAGACGGTGAGCTCCTTGGGGTTATTCTTGACGATATCAATAATCGATAGGCCGTAATTCTCCATGAAATGACGGTCCGCTCGGTCCCAAACCTCCTGCGCAACCGGGCTACTGGCGTAGAGTTCCATTCCCATTCCCTGCTCCTGGGAGCCCTGGCCGGTAAAGACGTAAGAAGTAACAGGTTGTTCGACCTCAGCTTCGCCCAGAAGAACCTTATCTTCGGAGTCCTTGTTGCTGGCTTCAACCTTGATAATCTTACGCCCAGCAATCATGCCAACGTGCTGCAATTTAACGGCAATGATATCATTGGGCAACACCATACCAACCAGCGACACATGGAAGCCCCGAACACGGCCAATGTTGTTCTCAGCGGCCCAAGTTTCAACATAGCTGCGGACTGCGGCGCTTGTATACATGCCATGGGTGATGGTACCCGGCAGGTTGGCATAGCTCGAGAAAACTCGTGACACGTGAATAGGGTTGTAATCACCCGAAACTCGAGCATAAGTCTCGTTGGACGCAGGAGCACGTAGTACCAATGATGTTTTGCCACTGAGAGGGATAGGATTCTCGAAGTATACCGGCTGCTCGATAGACGTGCCATTCCGTTGGAGGTAGTCGATCACTGGATTTCCATGAGAGGTTCCGGCCTCGTAGTCCACAGAGGCAACCTGGATGATTTCCTTAGTCGGTAGCTCCAAGAGTACCTGTCCAATTGTTTGAACATTGCTGAACACAGACTTGTTCTTGAAACGGTTTAAGCTCTGAAGACGGAAAGTCAAAGTCTTGCCCAAAAGCTCAACATCGGATTCATCCATGCGGAACCATTCCTTTGAGCGGAGGATTGCAACATCTCGGCTAGAAGCGAGGTGAACCTGCATGGGCACTTCATCTTTGCGTTGGAAGGTATTTTCGAAATCCAGGTAGTTTCCGCGGTACAGGAACTGGCTAGTGACATGCATGATAGGTTCATCGTCTCTTTTAATGGTGCCACAGACTTCGACCATCTTCCCAGACTCTTGGTTGATGACCGAGTTTATTTGCGCGGTGGTATCCAAAACATCGCCAACCTTCAGAGGTTGGGCCCCAGGAACCATCTTGAAACCATTCGATAAATGAACCAGTTTCAGCAGGTCACCGTCGATTGTCCGAGGGAAAATGGGTTTAGTAATAGCCTTCCAACCCGCAACAATGGCAAAGTCCATGGGAGCGAAGACTTCCTTTCCAGGGCGGTCGACAAACGCTTCGCCGGTGTTACCAACAGCATGAACAAAGTCAGCAACGGCTTGAGAGGTGATCGTTGTACGTCCACCGTTGAAAGTTGCAGTGGTAGGGGTATCAAATGGGACCTCCTTGTTACCGAACCACACGCGGTAGTAAAATTCCTTGATGCGATCATTGCGGCTGTCCATAACTTCCCTAATCGGTGCGTACCCTGCGTCAGGGTGGTAAGTGAACAAGAAGGTTAAAGGAACAACGGCAGCCTCTGCCGTTCTTCCTTCATAAATCGTAAGACTGATCTGACTCTTGTCGTTCATTTTCACTTCAACCGTCTTGACAAGTTTGCCAGACTGATAGGGTTCTCGCACAATGATAGTTGTCTCGGAAGGATTTTCAGAAGTTGATATTTCCACATACATTCCAGGAACCGGCGCAACAATTCGTTTCATAGGGTTAGTCTGGAAACGATGACCCTGGACAAACACATCGGCCAAAAACATAGCGTGTCTCCAGGAGTATGCTGTGCCGGCAAGGAGACGAAGCCAGCGGTCCAGGTCAGGCAGGTCGGCTGAAGGCGATGACGACAGTCGGTAGCTGAACTTGTTGGCGTCTTTCGAGATGGTAAGGCCGTCAATATCCAACTCGCCAATGTCCTTATTGAATCGTCCTCCAAAATATTCGATGACGGGGATTTTGCTCTTGTCTCCAGTATACACGTCCCTGACCAAACTTTCAATGTGGCCTTTGTGGATGCCGTTTAGAATATCGGCGACTGGCTCATCAATGACATTCGAGAACTTTGCAGCCATTGGACCCTGCAAGATACATGTCCGGCCGACATCCTGGCCCACAACCGCTTCAAGGTCTTCGCTTTGCCAAAGAGAGTCTTTCTTGAACCAGTACTCGAAGTTTTCATCCAAGGAGGGGACAAACGGCACCGGCTTTTGTCCGCGGCGCTGGCAAAGTAACAGGAAATGTTGAACGTCTTGAGCATTGATTAACTGAGTTGCCGCCTCGGGATAGGCCGCCAAGATATTGTTGATGGCCGGGTACGGTGTGTTGAGCTCTGAATAATTTTGAAGTAGGGACGGTTGACCATCGGCAATGGTGAAACGCTCTTCAACCCGCCGAATGAAGTCTCCGGTCAGCTTCTTCAACGAGTCATCGATCCATCTAGACTCATGCTTGACATACATGAGGTCCACCATACGGTGGACCACCTCTGTGTAGGTCATATCTTCCAAATCAACCGTCTCTCCAGAGGCATTGCGGCCAAACCAAACTTTGTGGAAATCATCATTAAGCTTTTGAATGATGTAGTTCCTGAGTTTCTTGAGCTCAGGAACACGCTTGGCCTTATCAAGTTTGAATATTTTTTGATCCATTTCATGCCAGAAAAGAACACCTCTTGTTGCTAGCTTGTGAATCGGCTCGCCCATTTCAGACAATACAGTGACAACGCCACCTGCAGCACCCTTATATGTCTTTTCCCAGTCTTTGTCTTCAAGACCGGGGGCCTCTGCGATGGCCTTCTTGGCATTCTTAGATGTGTGGGCTTCCTTGGAAATCATCATTCGACTACCGAACAAGCAGCCATCAAAAGGCATCGGTGGATAGCCAAAGCCAGAGGACCATGTGCCCGAAAGGTAAGGGTATGTGTCTTCGGAACCGCCAAAGCCACTGCCGGCCACAAGAACGATATTATCACAGCGTCTGATACGGCTGTACATCTGCAAAATAGGCTGGTGGAAATCTTCGAAGGAGTGATGACCTCCACCACGTCCTCCGGTCCATTGCAAAATGATAGGAAACTTCGGGTTTGCCTTGGCAATATTGACGACTTGTTGGATGGCATCTACCGAGCCTGGTTTGAAGGCAATGTGCTTGATGCCAAGTGTTTCAATGTACTCGTTGGCTACCTCGATAGATGGAACACCGGCACCTATCGTAAGACCTTCAATGGGCACGCCGTCAGTCCTCAACCTTCCGATCAAGGGGATTTGCCAAGCCATGGCGCGAGGATTAACATAAATCAGATTGATGGTGATACCGCGGCCAGGTGGAATGGCTTTTTCAATCTTGTTGATGGCCTCTGTCATCGTCTTTGAATTGTAATAGCCACCACCGGCGAGTTCGACATGGTAGCCTGCGTTCATCGTCGCAGCAACAAAATCCCATGGCACTGTAGTGGGCGTCATTCCGGCGACCATGATGGGGGCAATGCCCAAGAGCCGGCTCATCTTGGTGTCAACGAAGGTCTGGCCAGTCGCGTTTTTCACCAGACGTGGCCCATATTCTTTGACCCAATCAATGGCATATTTGACCGAGTGTTCATCGCGATCAAAAAGCTCGGGCTTATACCCAACTTCGGCATTGGTACCGTCCATAGCCCCGGCGAGAACCACACGGACACCTGTACCATCCTTGTTGCGGTTCGTAAGCACCCCGAGACCCGAGATCCCGCCAGGTCCAAAATCAACAATGTGCGTCGCTCCCGGAAATACAGTTGCTTGTTCCCAATTGACGGCATCATGAGTAATCATGCGAACCAATGCTGGAACGACATTAGCTCCATCCAACTTGCTGAGGTCACTACCAGTCTTCGTATCGTAGACTGGAATGGCAAGAGATTGAGGCGGTATTTCGATGTCCTCCAAGTCATCCAAAATCCGGTCATAGGCTGGGTATAGGTACTGGCTGTGGAATGGCGCGGTGATAGGAAGGAAACGGTTAACAAAGCGAACTTTACGCTGGGTAAAGGGGACCCGATTCTGATCCAACCCAGTCGGAGCTTTGACTTTGCGCAGGCGTAAGTTGAGACCATAAAGGGACAGAGGCGGTCCGGTCACAACAAAATTACGAGCGCTGTTGACTAGTGATATGGAGATATGACGATCTTCAGGCAGATGTTGATTGGTCGTGTCAATGTGTTCCTGAACAGCGGCCCTCGGCAGGTCTCGGATGGACAACATGGGCGTAGGCGTGCCTTCTCCGTTTTCAATTGAATCCTGCAGGACGGACGGAGCAATGGATGTGCGAGGGTAAGCTTGCTGACTGCGAAGGCCGATCCAAAAAAGCATAGTCAATGCATTCTTGGCAGCTTTCTCGAAGCCCTCCCAAGTAGTCGCAGAAGCAATTGCCGCAGCCGTCACAACACCCTGAGAGTGGCCCGTGGTTCCACTGAACCTTTCAAGCACCTCACCGGGCGTTTTACCCAAGACCTTGCATGTGACAACGAAGTGCGCCAACTGGACCAGACCGATCAACGGCAGACTCACCGGAGCCGACACTAGGTAGTCAGTGTCTGGCTGAGAATCACGATCCTGAAGCCATTGAATGACATCCAAGCCCTTGGGATAGAGCTTGCTGGCTTCAGGTTCATGTGATAGAGCCTGCAGTAGTTCGGCAGAGGAAGTGATGAGATCATCAACGAAAGAGGGGTAGGTAGTGTAAATTTCCCGCAGTTCGTCAAAGTATTCTTCAATATTTCCTTGCCCGCCGAAGACCGAGTAAACGCTGGCCTTCTCATCCGAGGCTGCTCGAAATAATGCCGAATCATATGGCTTGATCGGGCGACCAACAGCCGCTCTGCCGGCATAATACGCTTTCACGACCATAACCTTCTTGGCAATGATGCCAGGAAGGCCGGCCGAAACAGCATGGACGTCATTGCCCCGCATAAAAGCGCGTTCGAACTCGTTTAGAGCCAACTTCAGAACCTCCAAGTATGTTCCCTGCGCATCATCTTCACCTTCTTCCACTTCATTTGCGACATGCCCAATGTATCTAGCCACCAGTTCAGGGACTGAAGAAGGCTCATCGTCCTGGGCCAGCTCGTCCGTCGGCTCCGGTAACGATGCTGTGAAGCTGTCCTTCAATTGGGAGGCATGAAAGTGAAGCGAGGTCGGCACAAGGAACGAGAATTCAAGCGACCCATGTGACAGAATCAGGGGCCTCAGTGACTGTGATGAGCGAGGAGTATTAATGCCCGTTTGAGGACCGGTTGATGTTCCGTACATTGTGTCGGTCTGTCTTTTGTCTAGTTCTATGTGATTGTCCGGAATAACACGATTGGAATAGCCCAGTTGATTGTCGAGGAGGATATCTCAGCGGGGTTCTGTGATGGGAGAAAAAAGGTGTTATACAAGATCCTCAAGAACAAGTGATAGGTGTGAAAGGCTTGGTCCGGAAATTCTTGCGGGGCAGAGGCCTGGGGAAACCTCAATCCTTGTTCACCAGGAAAACAGGAGAAGCAATGACTGGGAAAGAGAGATTGACTGAGCCGGTATGGACCTACCTATTTCTGTCACAATGGTTCTTCCAAGCAATACTCAATACACTTGATCAAGCCTGCCCGAAAGTCATCCGCTGGTCCACCGTCCAGCAAAGATGAGATGACTGTAAATAAAATCGGGGTGACAACAAGAACTGGATAAGTGTGGGATGTGTATTACAATATGAAAAAGGGTAAATAGTTATAGAGAACAAAAGGGGAAGTGTCAAACCAAGAGAAAGGAAATGCGGGCTGGTGTGAATTGAGCGGACGGGGTGAACCAGCCTTAACTGGCAAAAAAAAGGCGGTTCACCAAATCCAGGTGATATTTTATTATTACACGTGCTGGGAGACGCAGGCGTGGCCCACGCGCGCACACACAACTCTGTTGAACCGGCTCAGCGGAGGTCGAATCCCGCAGGTTTGGGCTGGTTGAATGGGAGTCGTCCGGATTTGGTATGGTGGGCAGGAGGATCTCCCCAAAGATCCAAAATGGTTGGGCTGGGCCCAGGGTGTGATATGACAATACCTGACCGTTGCAGTACCCTCGAGATAACCTGTACTAGGAGTACCTACCAGGTGCCGCTAAGCTTCTATTACTAGGTATCATATCACCAGGCCTATGATCTAGGTATCTAGGTATATAATTCTGTTAGAAGGGGCTCGGTATATCTTCCTGAATATAGAATAAGAAATTATGCAGGCTATCTACTACTATATTTACGTATAGAATATACTCCCGATGTAGTACCTATATCTATGTAAGGATCCTAATAGATACTTAGTTAACTAGAGAAGAATATCCCTAGATGCTACGTACTATACTTCCTTCTAGTATTATAGAATACTCTATGAAAATCAGATATATTGTTTATCACCTGGGTAGGTACTATCTAATAACCCTACTATGTACACTCTGTATAGCTGCGTGTGTGCCTAAAGTACCTTAGGTACCTATAATTAATTACATCACTAAGGTAAGTGGATATAAGAGGTAGGATGTTGTAGTATAACTATATAAATCTATAATAATTAGGCATCTGCTTTATAGTACTTTTTTCATTGAATTGCCTCTTCCCATATTTTATATTTATGCCCACAGTATCTACATCTCTAGCTGGATTGTACAGATATACTGAAGTAACGGGAAGATATATTAGGAATTCAATAACTAGATCCGGTTTCTCAGATATCGAGTTATTACTTATTTGTCTTGAAGTGGCGTACTGCTACTAGTAGGTGCCTAAACTACCTGTAAGTACTATGGCCTTTTTAAAAATTACACACACTGAAAAATTACCTGCCTCTGTATCTAAAGGTAAGTACTACTTTGAGCCCCAACCAGACAATGCTTCCTGTTTTCCCCGTGTCTTTAATTTTATTTACTGTTCCCAGGGATATCTTTGCTGCTACGGAGTACTGGGAGTAAGTACCACTAAAATACTTTGCACACTGTGGTACTAGTAGGTACTGCCGGAGTAACCCGTGCTCCATACTACTTCATACGCACACGACAGCCATCTCCCGCCCCAACACTCACCAAAAGCTTCTAGTCAAAATCCCATCCACCCTCCATAGTCTGTAGTTTCTTTCCCCTCTAAGTGTGCATAGTACCTTCCTATCTTCCCTTTTTGTTAATATTTATTTTATTGTGTTTTTCTTTACCTTCTAATCCCCTCCACTTTTCCTTGGGATATTTCTGGTTCTAGGGCATTGGTGAACGCTCCCCACCGCCGGTGGTCCTCCTAGACTGGGGTGAGTGCTTTCGATTCCTAATACATAATCACTTTTTTCTTCTCTTGTCCCCTTTTCTGTCCACCACCCAGTATTCTTCTTTTCCTGCTGGCTGCCTGTATGTTCAATTGGGATAAGAGGCAAAACCAATGCTACCTGCCGTCTTCCAGTAAATCATTCCATGCTAACGGGTCATCGTTTAATTAGGATTGAAACTGTTTAGCCATCCATCAACATTATATTATCAGTTTAATTAACTTATTTCCTCCGAACCTAAAACTCGCAACTGTTGTTGGTTTCCGCTTGGGTGGTTACCCTTCTCTTCCCACGACTTCTCGCGAGCTGCTATTCCAATCGAAATTTTCCTACTTCCTCAACCGTTCACAATTGGGGCGGCTATACGTGGAATTTCATACGTTCTTGCCGTAATACCCATTCTACTTCACTATGCGGCCCGAAATCGAACAGGAGCTGGCCCATACTCTGCTGGTTGAACTTCTGGCCTACCAGTTTGCTTCGCCAGTACGATGGATCGAAACTCAAGATGTCATTCTTGCAGAGAAGAGGACAGAACGGATTGTTGAGATTGGCCCCGCGGATACGCTGGGTGGCATGGCAAGACGAACCCTCGCTTCGAAGTATGAAGCATATGACGCTGCCACCTCTGTTCAACGCCAAATACTGTGCTACAACAAGGATGTGAAGGAGATCTATTACGACGTAGATCCAGTCGAAGAGGAAGCGGAGACTCCAGCAGAGCCAGCAGCCGGTGCTGCTGCCCCGAGCGCCGCCGCCGCCGCTGCTCCGGCCGCCGCTGTTCCACCTCCCCCCAGCGCTGGACCCGCGGCCGCGGTTGAGGATGCCCCAGTTACAGCTGTGGACGTTGTCAGGACGCTAGTGGCACAGAAGCTGAAGAAGAGTTTGTCGGATGTCCCTCTGAGTAAGGCGATCAAGGATTTAGTTGGAGGTATGTATAATCAACTTGCGTGGGAGCTGTGATATAGTTGTGTGTTGACCATCTGGCTCCTAGGTAAATCTACTCTGCAGAATGAGATTCTAGGTGATTTAGGAAAGGAGTTCGGCTCAACGCCAGAGAAGCCGGAAGATACACCATTGGACGAACTAGGCGCATCCATGCAGGCGACGTTTAATGGGCAACTTGGCAAACAATCGTCTTCTCTCATAGCTCGCCTGGTTTCGTCAAAAATGCCAGGCGGCTTCAATATTACCGCAGTTCGCAAGTATTTGGAGACTAGATGGGGGTTGGGATCTGGACGCCAAGATGGTGTCCTCCTTCTTGCCCTCACCATGGAACCCCCGTCTCGGATAGGCTCGGAGCCCGATGCTAAGTCTTACCTGGACGATGTCACGAATAAGTATGCTGCTAGTGCCGGCATCAGCCTTTCTGCACCTACTGCCGGCAGCGATGGTGGCGCAGGCAGTGGAGGCATGCTTATGGACCCCGCTGCTATCGATGCATTGACTAAAGATCAGCGAGCGTTGTTCAAGCAACAGCTAGAGATCATCGCCCGTTACTTGAAGATGGATCTACGCGCCGGTCAAAAAGCATACATATCGTCGCAGGAGACCCAGACTGCATTGCAGGCGCAGCTAGATCTCTGGCAGGCTGAACATGGTGATTTCTACGCGTCCGGCATCGAGCCAGCCTTCGATCCTCTGAAAGCCCGTGTCTACGACTCGTCTTGGAACTGGGCTCGTCAAGATGCTCTTAGCATGTACTACGATATCATTTTCGGCAGACTCAAGGTCGTTGACCGTGAGATTGTGAGCCAGTGTATCCGCATCATGAACCGTTCGAACCCGCTTCTTCTCGAGTTCATGCAGTATCATATTGACAACTGCCCGACTGAACGGGGTGAAACGTATCAACTGGCCAAGGAACTTGGCCAACAGCTCATTGAAAATTGCAAGGAAGTTCTAGATATTGCACCTGTCTACAAGGACGTTGCTGTCCCTACCGGGCCCCAGACGACTGTCGATTCTAGAGGAAACGTCGGGTACAAGGAGGTCCCACGGGCCAGCGCTCGCAAGTTGGAACATTATGTCAAGCAAATGGCCGAAGGAGGACCGATTTCTGAGTACAGCAACCGTGCCAAAGTGCAGAATGATCTTCGCAGCGTCTACAAGTTGATCCGCAGACAACATCGCTTATCCAAGTCGTCGCAGCTTCAGTTCAACGCCCTATACAAGGACGTTATTCGTGCTCTTAGCATGAACGAGAACCAAATTATGCCACAGGAAAACGGCCTCGGCAAGAAGTCCAGCAGGAACGGAGTCAAACGCAATGGCAGTCCCCGTGCCGGAAAGGTCGAGACTATCCCTTTCCTGCATCTCAAGAAAAAGTCCGAGCATGGCTGGGATTACAACAAGAAGCTCACAGGAGCTTACCTCGATGTGCTGGAGTCTGCTGCGCAGTCGGGCCTCTCTTTCCAGGGCAAGAACGTCTTGATGACTGGTGCGGGTGCCGGTTCTATTGGAGCGGAAGTGCTGCAAGGCCTGATTAGTGGTGGCGCTAAAGTTGTTGTTACGACGAGCCGTTTCTCTCGTGAAGTCACTGAGTATTACCAGGCGATGTATGCCCGCTACGGTGCTCGCGGCTCTCAGCTTGTCGTGGTGCCTTTCAACCAAGGTAGCAAGCAAGACGTGGAAGCACTGGTCAACTACATCTATGACACCAAGAAAGGTCTCGGCTGGGACTTGGACTTCGTTGTTCCGTTTGCGGCTATCCCAGAGAACGGCCGTGAGATTGACTCTATCGACTCGAAGTCGGAACTCGCCCATCGGATAATGTTGACAAACCTGTTACGTCTGCTTGGATGCATTAAGGCCCAGAAACAAAGCAATGGTTTCGAGACACGTCCAGCTCAAGTCATCCTTCCCTTGTCACCTAACCATGGTACATTTGGAAATGACGGTCTTTACTCTGAGTCAAAACTTGCACTGGAAACTCTATTCAACCGTTGGTACTCTGAGAACTGGAGCAACTACCTAACCATATGTGGTGCTGTCATTGGCTGGACTCGGGGTACAGGTCTCATGAGCGGGAATAACATGGTTGCTGAAGGCGTTGAGAAGCTTGGTGTTCGCACCTTTTCCCAGCAAGAAATGGCCTTCAACCTGCTTGGCCTCATGGCCCCTGCGATTGTTAACCTTTGCCAGCTCGACCCTGTTTGGGCAGATCTCAACGGCGGACTGCAGTTCATTCCCGATCTCAAAGATCTCATGACGACTCTCCGCACCGATATTATGGAAACAAGTGATGTTCGTCAAGCTGTGATCAAGGAAACTGCCATTGAAAACAAAGTCGTCAATGGCGAAGACAGTGAAGTCCTCTACAAACGGGTCATTGCAGAGCCTCGCGCCAACATCAAGTTTCAGTTTCCAGCTGTACCAAATTGGGAAGATGACGTCCAACCTCTCAATGAGAGCCTCAAAGGCATGGTCAACCTGGACAAGGTCGTTGTTGTCACCGGATTCTCAGAGGTTGGACCCTGGGGTAATTCTCGCACTCGCTGGGAGATGGAGGCATATGGCAAGTTTTCTCTCGAAGGTTGCGTGGAAATGGCCTGGATTATGGGACTTATCAAACACCATAACGGCCCATTGAAGGGCAAGGCCTACTCTGGATGGGTGGATGCAAAGTCTGGGGAGCCAGTGGATGATAAGGATGTGAAGCCGAAGTACGAAAAGTTTATTCTGGAGCATTCCGGCATCCGACTCATTGAGCCCGAGCTATTCAAAGGCTACGACCCTAAGAAGAAGCAACTGCTCCAGGAGATTGTCATCCAGGAAGATTTGGACCCGTTCGAGTCTTCGAAGGAGACTGCAGAGGAGTTCAAGCGTGAACATGGTGAGAAGGTGGAAATCTTTGAACTGCCAGAATCTGGCGAGTTCACCGTGCGTCTCAAGAAGGGCGCTACCCTACTAATCCCCAAGGCTCTTCAGTTCGACCGCCTTGTTGCTGGCCAGATCCCAACCGGCTGGGATGCCAAGAGATACGGCGTCCCAGACGATATCATCGAACAAGTTGATCCGGTGACTTTGTTTGTGCTTGTCTGCACTGCCGAATCAATGCTTTCAGCTGGTATCACGGATCCTTATGAGTTCTACAAATATGTTCACTTGTCAGAGGTTGGTAATTGCATTGGTTCTGGTATTGGAGGCACCCATGCTCTGAGAGGAATGTACAAGGATCGTTATCTTGACAAACCTCTGCAAAAGGATATCTTGCAAGAATCATTCATTAACACAATGAGTGCGTGGGTCAACATGCTACTTCTGTCTTCTACAGGCCCAATAAAGACCCCTGTTGGTGCTTGTGCCACAGCTGTCGAGTCTGTTGACATTGGGTATGAGACAATTGTTGAAGGGAAAGCCCGTGTCTGCTTTGTTGGTGGATTTGACGACTTCCAGGAAGAAGGGTCCTACGAGTTCGCCAACATGAAAGCTACCAGCAATGCAGAGGATGAATTTGCCCATGGTCGTACCCCGCAGGAAATGTCGCGACCCACAACTACAACCCGCGCCGGGTTCATGGAGTCACAGGGTTGTGGTATGCAACTTATCATGAGCGCCCAGCTTGCCCTGGATATGGGCGTGCCGATTTATGGCATCATCGCGTTGACCACCACAGCCACCGACAAAATTGGTCGCTCTGTTCCCGCTCCCGGCCAAGGAGTTCTTACTACAGCACGAGAGAACCCTGGCAAGTTTCCATCCCCTTTGCTGGACATTAAGTACCGCCGCCGGCAGCTTGATCTGCGCAAGAAGCAGATCAAGGAATGGCAAGAATCAGAGCTACTGTACCTTCAGGAAGAAGTCGAAGCCATGAAGGCTCAAGGCCCCGAGTATTCTGATGTCTCGGGATACATGCAAGAACGAGCCCAGCACATTGAACGCGAAGCTATTCGGCAGGAGAAGGATGCCCAATTCAGCCTCGGAAACAACTTCTGGAGACAGGACTCTCGCATAGCTCCTCTTCGCGGCGCCCTCGCCACTTGGGGTCTCACTGTCGATGATATTGACGTTGCCTCATTCCACGGTACATCTACTGTTGCCAACGATAAAAATGAATCAGACGTAATCTGCCAGCAGATGAAGCACTTGGGTCGCAAGAAGGGCAACGCGCTGCTGGGAATCTTCCAGAAGTATCTGACAGGACATCCCAAAGGTGCTGCTGGTGCCTGGATGTTCAACGGCTGTCTGCAAGTTCTGGAAAGCGGATTAGTTCCTGGCAACCGCAACGCCGATAACGTGGACAAGGTTATGGAGAAATTCGATTACATTGTTTATCCAAGCCGCAGCATTCAAACGGATGGTATCAAAGCGTTCTCGGTCACCTCATTCGGTTTCGGTCAAAAGGGTGCACAAGTTATCGGTATCCATCCTAAGTACCTCTTCGCTACGCTCGACCGGGCCCAATACGATGCCTACAAGGCTAAGGTTGAGGCCAGACAGAAGAAGGCATACCGCTTCTTCCACAGCGGTCTTATCAACAACAGTATCTTTGTTGCTAAAAGCAAGGCTCCCTACGAAGATGATATGCAAAGCAAGGTCTTCCTCAATCCTGACTATCGTGTGGCTGCCGACAAGAAAACATCGGAGCTCAAGTTTCCCCCCCAACCTCCAAAGTCCAACGAGAAAGGAGTTGAGAGCACAAGGATCATGATTGAGTCACTCGCGAAGGCCAGTGCTTCCGACAATTCGAAGGTGGGCGTCGACGTGGAAAACATTGAAAGTTTCAACATCGAGAACGAGACCTTTATTGAACGCAACTTCACTGCAAATGAGCAGGAGTACTGTCGCAAGGCGGCGTGTCCCCAATCATCCTTTGCAGGACGGTGGAGTGCGAAGGAGGCTGTTTTTAAATCCTTGGGTGTTAGCAGCAAGGGGGCCGGTGCTCCGCTGAAAGACATTGAGATCTCAAGTGATTCGACCGGAGCGCCTGTGGTCAATGTAAGTGATTCTTTGTGGCAAGATCGCTAAATGACATTTTACTAACGTCCTATCCAGCTCCACGGTGCCGCAGCTGAGGCCGCCAAGGAAAGTGGTGTTAAACAAGTCAGCGTCAGCATCAGCCACAGTGACACCCAGGCCGTAGCAGTCGCGGTCTCCAAGTTTTAATGCTCTGATGAGAAATAATGGCCTGGTTTCTTTCGCTTTTTCTTTCTGTCATGTGTGCCTGGGTGTAACTTATTGTCTTCCCTCCTTTCCTAAGCAACCTTAGATTGTTAATAAATCAACAATTCATTCAATTCTTTAAGCCCAGCCCCCCCCCCAATGCTATAAATCATAGGGTTCTTTTTGGCCTTTTAGTAGTTTAGTGCTGGCGGTTAGCTCATGTATTTGAAGTTGAATTCATGAAACAGGTCCCCTGAGCACCTTGATATACGGGACCATTGGTGCTTTTACGATTGACATATTTCGTGTTCTTCGTGCTATCTTCTATAGACTGGTTAACCAGATCGGCACATATACGGTAGAGTCAGATAGACACGGTGACATCATTTCAGCCGCCGCCATCCATATGAATTAAGTAACGCCCGTGGGATGCTTTATAGAGAAGAAAACAGTCAAGGACACGGTGTAGTACACGGAGAGGGGTTCTATCATTTTTATCGCCCCCCAGACGCTCGGCTCAGAGGGCCCCAGTTTTCCCGAGGATTGATCTGATACCTCACCAATCGTTTTTTAGCTGCGGCATCCCTGCCCATGGCCTCGTCAAAGATGATCTCTAGTGAGCTAAGATCAGGTCTGGCAGCCGTTCTGTCCTGTGACTGGGAGCGAATACCCTTCTGCGTTTCAGATTGACCAGCCAGTGGAGAATGAGACACAATCTTTTCTCCCGACTCTTGAAGGGCACCAGCGCGATACAGTGCAGCTTGAACCTTCGTGATCATCTCTACAACATCCTTTGCCTCAGAGGCTGCCATGATATCTGACTTGAGAAGGCTCAGGGAATGGCCTTCTCCCAAGGATCCTTGAACATTATTCCGACTCTTGGCCATGATGGCAGCGCCGGGACTCCCAGGCTTAAGAGAACCTTCTCTGACGGGCGATTTCTGCCTCACCCATTCCCTCATAATCTCCCAGACCACCTCCCAAGGAGCATCTGTACGAATTGAGTTCGGCCTCGCGTGACTGCGGGTGGACCTATAGCCCAGGTGTCGAAGAGCCCCACGCATGGCATCAATAGAGACCGTTGAGGTATGCAACACTTTGGACAGAGAGCTGAGGCTGAAATAGAAAGGGTGTTCATCCCGAGCAGCTGGATCTAGCCGGGGAATGATGGCAGAAGGATTGCCAAGTGGGATGTCTTCACCAGAAGCGTCGGTAGATTTCTGTTTCACGCTCACCTCGGTGGGTTCAAGAGATAAATCTTCCTCGAGGGCTGTGGTCAACATGCCTTCGATTCTGTCAATGGTGTGGTACACAGACCTGTCTGCCCGAGGGAGCATGTCAAGGATCCTGCGAATGAAATGTGGGTTATGAAGGGGACCGGCCCACATAGGGCCGCTTAGGTGAGTCCGAGTACCGCAATGTTCGCAATGACTGTCCGAGGCAGGGCCCTGGGCAAAGCCGAAGTGATAAAAAGGGTTACCTTTTTTATCCAGTCTTTGTTTCGTCTGAGTTATGGGTTGAGTCGACCATGCGCCACAACCAGAATCGCAGTTATAGACCACCATCATCTTTCCTGAGGCAAATTTGACTTCAGCAGGGGAGCGATGAACACGAACAAATACTCGAGCATAGAAATCGATTGATAAGGAGAGAAGTGGCTCTATGGCGAGGCCATATTTTGCAGCAGACGTCGCAAGTCCGTGTAGAATAAGACGCAGTCCTCCTTCATGGCAATGGGGTCCCTTGACTGGAACACCACCATACAAGGCGAACGATTTTTCCGGATAGCCGTGGGACGCCCAAACTCCGGCATCGGTACATGTCACACAAAGAAGACCACCATCCTTGACACCCTGGACTGCTGCGTCCATGAATGGTGCAGCGGTGCCGTAAGGGTCTAGGTCGATGACATCGAATTTTCCCGCGTGTGAGTCAGCGGTTGGGATGCTCCCTGGACTCAAAAGACTGTACATAAAAGCCCGCGCATCCCCGTTGTTGGGTCGGATCTGGCCTTCAAGTCGATTGTACTGAATGTTCAACTTCATAGACTGGATGGCTAAGGCGGACAGGTCGTTTGCGACAACATAGGAAGTAAAGGGGATCTCCAAGGCGTATCGCAGAGCACGCAGTCCGGTGGCAGACAGGGCGTCTAGGATTGTGAAGGACGGCGCAATGGCTTGCTGCGTTGGGAGCGACCGGGACTTGCTCTGCGCCACAGTTTCTGTTTCATGGGTCTGATCGTGGGTTTGTTCCTCGCGATCTCCCTCTTCGCGCTTGCGCTTCTTGCCGCTTGCCGCAGCCTTTTGCTGTTTTCTCTCAGCCCTCTGTTTCTTCAAGGCCAGTGTATGCTCCCCATATGCACGAATTGCAAGGACACTAAGGTCCCTGTTAAACTGCTGGATAGGATTATAGAAGACGGATTGGGAATGCTCGTCAGCTTTGAGATCCTTTTTCGTGGCCTTGGAGGCGGCATCTTGGGCCGGGGGGTTCAAAATATACGCTTGCCCCTCCTTGACTGCTCTATATTCGGTGCCGTTGTACTGGATCAGTTGCTCCGACATTTCGGCGGTTGGTGGTGGTGGTGGTGGTGGTGGTGGACGATGAGCAGTCGCACAATCGCTGCTGATGAGGCGCAACGAGGAGATTCGAAGTTTTGGACGGATGGAGAGAGCGCAGAAGAGAATGGAAGAGCTGGGGGTCATTGGCCTTTAGTCCTCCCCAAGCGCAGGATTGGTGGGGCTGCAGAGAAGCCTTTTGCACTTTGCACCTCGACGCCGCGTTCTTTTCTCTTTTTCCTCCGCCAAAGCACGGACCATGCATGTTCCCAATGCCGATGGGTTCCAGAGTTCGGCTTCCGGCTTCCACCACTTCAACTTTACTACCACATACATACATACATATATACATGCCACTACCACGGCTCCGTCTTTCTTTGCTTTGTGTGTATAACTATGGTGGATGCTGATCGTCATTAGCTTTGGGGTGATTAGCGGTGCGATAAACATTATGGGTGCTACTGTACAGGAGGACTAAGGCCGTTGGAGGGTCAAAGGTCAGAGCCAGGCTCCAATGACAGGTACCTGGTTGTATATCTCATTCCATCCATTGGCCTCCCAGCCAGAACCGCCTCCAGACCGCCCAATAATCCCCAGGGCTCCGGCAAGCCAAATCGACGCACCCACCGCTGCGATCCCGTTGACAGTCCACCACATCTTTCTCTGTCGCCGGACCCGTTGCTCGCTCTCCGCGTGTCCCAAATAGCCCTCCAGCGAGCCCTTCTTCCGGTCACGCTCCTTTCGCCTCGTTGTCACTCTCCAGCCCATCCAAGAGGCCCACCCGCCCGCAAAATGCCACACCCCGATGGCGACAAATGCCACATAATATAGATCCCAAAAGGCCGGGGCGCGCGCAAAGCCATGGGCCACATAACCGAGACCGACGCCGGAGCTTCCTCCATCAACTATCAGCGGGGTGATGCGGTTCACAAGAACATGGGCGCCGAGCAAGGGGACAAGGGAGTATCCTAGTCGGGCCTGCAGGCTCATCCGGGGCCAGAACGTCAGCAAATTTCTTTGCGACCTCGTCTCGGCGCCATAGAGTCGCGCCCGCCGCGAAGAGCGAATGTTGCGCAAAGTAACCCCCGACGCAACATGGACCAACACCGGAACGGTCAGGACCACATGCTCAAGTGACGGAGACTGGTAGATTGGTCTCGTCAGAAGCAGGTAGGGTTCGCTTTCCGGTACAGACCGAGTCACGAGCGGGATAAGCGAGGTGTTGGCCCAATGCAGGAGAAGGAATAGAGTGGGAGGGTAGGTCGAGTACCGTTGGAAAGCGGATACTGAGGACGAGGTGAGGGTCGCTGTTAGCTTCAGGTTAGGTAACGGTATCGTGGATAGACTTAGCCATACACCAAGAATCCCAGCTGTGCCCGCGAAGACCTAGCTTGAGCGATGAGAGCCTTCCCCCAGTCGTACCGGTCTCACCCACCGACGGGGAGCTCTGCGGTTTGGGAAAGTGCCCGCCGGTTTCGAGGTCGGGAAACTCATCCTCCACGGGGGAAGGGTCCAATTCCTGCATGGAGATCATGGAGCGTGTGTCGATGTCATCCGGCTTAAGCGTCATGCTTTCTTTGGAGGATGCCATGGCAAAAACGATGCCTGGCCAGGGTCACGACAGCCCGCTACCGTGATATATGTACCTACTCTCTCTATACGGGGACTTAAGACAAGAACGGTGGGTGGTTGGCACGAAGCTCTTTTTCCGTACCATCCATGATATTACCTATACAGTACCTCCGCTGTATCTATAGGTACTGGTACTTACCTAGGTACCTGGTACTGGGAAGTATGCCCATATCGGTATTTGAGTATTTACAGCAACGTAACAACTGAATAGTACGGATACCGGGGCGGTGACTGCCCGTGTTCAGTCGGCAGAAAGCTACAGCTTCTCCGTCCAGCATGAACTCCGACCGACTCCTCAATCCGAGCAGGCCTCAAGCATAGTAGTACTTACTTCCTCTCTCTTATCGGCACCTCTATTCTAGAGAACTATGGCGCCTGCAAGTTTCCACGCTCTCAATTCCCTTCAGCTACATGTACCACCCCTTGACTGACCAACGACGGCGTACATAGCGAGGCTTTACAAACCCCACCCCCAAAGTGCGATTGTCATTTTCCAACTCTTTGGATCAACGTCCCTATGCTAACGCTAAACGCCAACGCTTCAACTAGACCGAGTCCGCACGCTCCGCCCTAAGCTCCTTCACTTGTACCCTCTGCAACAAGTCCTATTCTCGCCACCCGGAATACGAAGCTCACATCTCTTCGTACGATCATCAGCATCGCAAACGTCTGCAAGATCTCAAGCAGCTATCACGGGACCCCAACGCTGCTGAGAAGGCCAGAAGAGCGGAGAGGAAGGCCGATGCAGAGGCCGGCCTAAGAGTGATTGATACCCCCAAAAATGTCACAGTTCCGACGACCGGGGCCGGAATTAGAAGTGGAACTAGTTCCGGGGGCGGGGGATTCAAGAAAGGCGGATTCAAAAGTTCCTTTACCACTGTCAAGGGACCCATCGCCCCTGCTGCACCCACGAAAAAGAACGTTCTAGGCGGCGACGACGAAGACAATGATGTCCTAGAAGCGGATGATGATACGGCCCAGGGCTTTCGCAACCAAATAGCCGCACCCTCAAGTGTCCAGCACGATCAAACGGAAAGCGATACCGACGAGGAGTATGCCAACAGTGCAATAGGTGGAGGGTATTACAACCCTCGAGATCCCACTGGTTGTTTTCCTGGATGTCCTGGGGGCAGGGATGCCAGATTGATCACATCTGTGGTATAACGAGAACCGCGTTGAACGTCATGACTGTCACGATTGATATAGATTTCGCATCAAATGGCCACGCTAGCTTCCATCACCGAACCAGTTGTAAGGTTTCACCGCACGGGCAATGGAGCATGTGCAAGAGATACTTCCCTCCGGCGCAAACTTCCTTCTCTCCGCATCATGTCCCGGCCGAAACTTCTCACAGAAAGAACCCTACCAAACAGTGCCTCCGCACGTACTTGTGGCCTGCTAGTCGGTTTCAACCCAACTCAGTCACTGGCTATTGTGATACAGTAGATATTACAGAGGATATGGCCATACCATACTTTGGGGTTCTAGAAATGCAGCTAGAGGTTGATTGTGTAATATAGTCGTACAAATACCAAGAAAAGGGTTAGGCACGCAAAATGTGAAAGTAGAGGAAGAAATGGCCGCGACAACAAGAGGGTACTAGACACATGATTTTATTACTTGAATTTTTCTTCAACGCCATTGGCTCATGTACAATGGCTCACCTCACAGCCGCAGCAGCTTAGCGGCCTGGCTGACGATGGTGTCCTCTTGGGGGAAGCTCATTTGCTCGAGGCCAAGGGCGTAGGGAGTAGGCACCTCGGCGCCAGTGACACGGACAGCAGGAGCAGTCAGGTAGTCAAAGCCGTATTCCATGGAAAGCGCGAGGATCTCGGAAGAGACGCCGAACATGGGGAAACCAGACTCGACGCACATGATACGGCCAGTCTTCTTGAGCGACTGGATGATGGTCTCAACATCCAGGGGCTTGACGGACCGGAGATTAATCACCTCCGCCTCAACACCGTACTTCTGCTTGAGTTGGGCAGCAGCGGTGAGAGACTGTCCCACGCAGCGGGAAAGGGAAACAATAGTCAGGTCCTTGCCGGGACGCTCAATCTTTGCCTTGCCGATGGGGAGGACAAAGTCATCCTTTTGGGCGGCCTCGCTCATGGGGAAGGCCTGGCCGTACAGGAGCCTGTTTGGTTTTGTCAGTCTTGACACGCCCACTCTTGTGGTTCTCTCGCAGTACGTACTCATTCTCCAGGACAACGACGGGGTTGGGGTCACGGATGGCAGCCTTGAGCAAGCCCTTGGCATCCTCGGAACTCCAGGGCGCAACAACCTTCAATCCAGGGATGCTGCCGTACCAGGCCGAGTAGTCCTGGGAGTGCTGAGCGGCAACACCAGCCGCGAAGCCATTGGGTCCACGGAAAGTGATATTGCAGGGCTGGATTCCTCCAGACATGTAGTGAGTCTTCGCGGCAGAGTTGATGATTTGATCAATGGCCTGCATGGCGAAGTTGAAGGTCATGAACTCGCACTAGAAAGAGCAATTGTTAGCACATGACAATCTTGCGTGATAGAGCACCGAGCACCGAGCACCGAGCACAGAGCACCGAAGATTGGTTGGTCGACATGGGAACTTACGATGGGGTGCAATCCGGCAAGAGCGGCACCGACGGCGATACCGCAAAAGCCGGCCTCGGTGATGGGGGTATCGATGACCCTCTTGGGACCAAAGCGATCCAAGAGACCTCTTGTCACCTTGTACCTAAACGTGTAGAGCTTGTTCAGAGATCCGGTTCGCCGACGATGGCCAAAGCACGGGTAATGGGGGTGCCATACGCTCCGTTGTACTGCGCAACCTCCTCTCCCAGAATGAAAGTTTTCTGGTTACTCTCCAGCTCCTCAGCGAGGGCCTCGTTCAGGGCATCACGAACTGTGACCTCCTTGGGACCGGTTTCGGTGGCATAGCCCCGGAAGCGCAGAAGGGAGGGCGCGCAGGCGGGTTGCGAGAAAGCCGGGCGAAGAGGCGCCGAGGAGAGGCGCGAAGAAAGCAGACGAGCTGCTGGGCGGAAAAGTCGGGGAGCAGCCATGGCGGGACTGTAGGGTATGAAAAGTAGCAGAGGGGGGGGGTGGGATGGAAGGCCTTCGCAAAGTGACCGGACTGTCGACAAGGGAGGTCAAAGGGGAGCGGAGAGCCGAAAGGGCCTCGTAACTTTTTTTTTCCGTCGACGACGAGGTTCTTCCTTCGGGGTTGTTGGTTTTTGGTGAGAGCTTCGAAGGGACTGTTGGGCTGGGCGACGCGCTGACTCAGCCGGCCTGGGGCGCCTTCCTGGCTTTGCTTTCCGGCTTTCGCGCTCACCGGCGCCTTCTTCCGTGCTTCCTGCCTTACTTGGGAGATAGATAGCAATCTATCTACCCCGTACGGAGTACTACTTCTTACTATCTCATGTACCGTGAGGTCCGTGATCATCTACTCCGGACTGCCGATAAGCAACCGATCTCTTGATCATCTCCTTCCCCCTTCATTCATTCATTCACTAATTCATTCATACTACTACTACTACTACTACTACTACTACTACTACTACTACTACTACTACTACTACTACTACTACTACTTTTAGTACTTGCAACTGAAACTACTCCCTCTCCTCCCGGTGCTGGTTCTGAGAACCGTCAGCATGATTCCCGGCTCTTCTTTCCTCTATCTCCTCGCCTCCCTCACCTCGGTCGTCCAAGCTGTGCAGCCATCCGCTCCCGACCCAATCGTCGCTCCATTGCGCGATCTGAAATGGGGCCAGCTCAATTTCCTTCACACCACGGACACACATGGTTGGCTGGCTGGTCATCTGCAAGAGTATGGCGCTGATTGATGTCCTCTCCGGCGCCGCGCGCGGGCCTTACTGATTCGAGTCCACCCTAGGCCCTCGTACTCCGCCGATTGGGGTGACTATGTCTCCTTCGCAGCCCGCATGCGTGAACATGCAGAATCGCAGGGCTTCGATCTACTGGTAATCGATACCGGTGACAGGGTAGAAGGAAATGGGCTCTATGACGCGTCGGAACCCAAAGGCATCCATCTCTCCGAGATCTTGCGACAGCAACACATTGACCTCATATCGGCGGGGAACCATGAACTGTACAAACAGTCGACATCGGAGGCGGAGTTTTTCACCACTGTCCCCCATTTTGCTGGTAACTACTTGGCGTCGAATATCGATATCCTGCACCCAGTCACCAATAATTTTATGCCCTTGGGTCTTCGCTACAAAAAGCTGGTCACGGAGAAACAAGGCATTCGAATTGCAGCCTTTGGGTTCCTGTTTGACTTCACAATGAATGCCAACAACACCCGTGTCCAGCGCGTGGAGGACACAATCAAGCAGGCTTGGTTCCAGGAAGCCATCAGAGACAAAGAGGTAGATCTTTTCCTGGTGATCGGACATGCACCTGTACGCTCAATCGAGTACGATGCTATCTATCGGGAGATTCGGGGCATTCGGTGGGACACACCGATTCAATTCTTCGGGGGGCATTACCACATCCGGGATTATGTCCGGTATGATTCGAAAGCATACGGTTTGGCAAGCGGCCGGTTCATGGAAACCATCGGCTTCATGTCTATCGATGGTCTCTCCACTGGCCGCCGGCAGTTAAAGCCTGCTTTGGCAGCGCCTCGGTTTAATCGAAAGTATATTGATAACAACCTCCTATCTTTCTATCATCACACCAGCCGCGATGAAGAATCATTTCCTACGGAGCACGGCCGAAATGTATCCCTACTTATCCAGCAGTCCCGGACCGATCTTCAACTGGACCAAGTATTCGGCTGTGCCCCCCGCGATCTCTGGATGTTTCGAGCAAAGTATCCCGGTGATGATAATATCTATACCTGGCTGGAGAAAGAAGTGCTCCCCGAGTCGCTAACTGATGTTTCTCGTGCTGGAACGCCGGCCCTCGTGGTTGTCAACACTGGAGCTATTCGCTTCGATATATTTAAGGGACCTTTTACACAAGACACTACTTACATTGTTTCCCCTTTCACGAGTGGTTTCCGTTATGTGAAAGATATTCCATATGACAAAGCCAAATTTCTTGTTGAAGTACTCAACAGGCAGCATGAAATTTTGGCCGATGCCCGTCACCCTGCGGGCTGGCAGCTTACCCCCCCGGAGCAGTCGGCGCCCACTCTTGATTTCACTGAGAAGGGTGATCTTGCTCTCAGCATTCGGCCAGATGCCGGCTTCCTTGCCAATCAAGCTTCCCTTATGAGTGGCGGCTATGCCGAACCCAATCTTTTCCCTGGGTATACCACCACCGATGACGGAGGCAAGGACGGCGATGACACAGTCCACTCGCCCATCACCTATTATAGCGTACCCAGTTGCATTCAGGCTCTGGCTTCTAATTCATCCGGAACCCCGGAAACCGTAGACCTTGTCTACATCGACTTCATTGAGCCCTATGTTGCTTTTGCAGCGAAATTTTCAAGGATAGCTGTTGATTTTTCGCGGGACAGCGATGTCTACATGCCAAATGCAACCCTAACAAGTCTGATATCGGACTGGGTGAAAGGTCATTGGACCTGCGGTGAGGCATGATCTGCACTTTAGACCCCCTTAAAGTTCGCTTTCAGTTTCCGATGAGCATGCACGTGTAGATCGTGCGATCAAGAACTCTATTACCTTAGAGTAGGTACAATAGCTTTACACATACAGCCCCAGCTGCAGATATGCTAACCGTAGTCTCCGGAGACCTCGAACATATGACCTGGACCTGACACGGAGCTTTGCTCTATGCAGGGAGGGAATGGCAACTCGAATCGAGTGAGTTCCAGATCTTGCTTAGCCGGGTGTACGGGGCTTACAGTAGGAGCCCTTGGCCGGTGAGAAGAATTGTAGATGATGTGGTGATTGATCACTACTTATAATCTAGCTGTTGGCCCGTCATGGAGGTGCACTGTACAAAATCCGAATTTCCCGACAGAATTGATTTCTTTCAATCCTGGCCCTTGTAACAAAGCAAGCCCTTGCCGCTGCGGTAACCGCTCAGAGTTTCTTGCACGCCTGAAATGAGCTCCGAGCCATCCATATCCCAGTTCCATTTGATTTCTTCAACAGGGATGTCCTTAAATCTGCCTGCGCGTGTCAGCTGCAATACGTCACTGATGGTGTTCTCCTTGAGCTGTGGGTTCTTGTCTCCCCATTTGCTAACCCAAAAGCCATCAAACGCGAGGTTTTTAAAGATAAGTAGTCCTGACGGCAGGGCAACCGGCTGCTTTGACATGGCCCCGTATGTGACTAAATGCGAGCCTGGTGCTAGTGTTTTGGCAAGTGCAGTGGCGCTCTTCCCACCCACACAATTCAATGCTAACCGAATGGGCTCTTTTCCTTGACGCGTGAGATCATGCACAAGGTTTCTAAATCCACCAGAAAGCAGCTCAGCTTCTGTGACCACCGCAGTTGCCCCTAGATCGAGAAGTTCCTTCTTCAGAACTTCGGTCTCTTCTGGGGTCTTCCGCTCCCGAACAATATTGAGGGTCTTGATGCCCCACTCCCGCGCAAGTTGGATAGCAGCTCGCCCGACGCCGCTGTTTGCGCCATTCTGAATCAACCACTCCTCCCCTGCGCGCATCCAGTCCCATTCACAGAAATCTTTAATCATGCGGTAAGCAGTTACCGGATTGACGCTAACTGTGCTGATTTGAAGTGGAGTCAGGCCCTCTTTGTTCTCAATTTTGATCAACTGTGACTCGTCCAGCTGGGCGTGAGTGCGCCAGGTGCCCTGTCCAGTCTGCTTCATGACAACCCAATCGCCCTTGCTGACATTTCGGGCCCCAGATCCAGTTGCAATGACTTCAAAGGCACCCTCATTTCCGGCTACAGCAGATGGCTCCTGTGTACCAAGAGCCGTTTGGAAGGGCGGCTTGCTTGGATACACGCCCTGGATCTGATTCACATCTGCGGGGTTCAGCGGCGCCGCAAGAAGACGAAGGTTAACCTGCGTGCCATGAGGGGCCGAAATTGAATGCTTGTGAAGTCTAGAAGTCCATTAGGCTAGTTGTCCGCGCGTCGGGCGAATCCAACGCGGCTGGTCAGCCAGCACTTACTGCAGAACATCCTTCGGCTCGCCGTATCGGGAGTAGACAAGCGCCTTGGATTGCGTATAGCCATAAACTGAAATCCACCTTCTGTTTCCTATCGGGACCTGGGGAGATACACCGCGCCATTGGGGCTTACTGGTGGAGGACAACCGTGATGCAGCGCCGGTCTTGGAAAGCGCCGAGGCGTGGCTGCCGGTGGCATTCACCCCCGATCGGATCGCGCGACCCGAGAACATTGTTATCGCTGAGAGCTAGGAGAATCAATGAATAAATGATGCAGGAGAGGCGGAGGTGGAAAGAAACTCAAGACGCGTTGCGTCGCTGAGGAAATCCCGGATGACGTCGTTCTCCAAACCCTCGGGCCGACGGAGGTGCATCGGCCGAATCGGGTAATCCTTCTGCCCAGGGTAGTACGAAGTATAGGTAGGTATCTATCCGGTAGTAGTATCGAGATATTTATTGGTCTAATACCTAGGTACTCTGTATCTACTGTGAAAAGAATACTGAGATATCTTGGTAGACACCTAGGTACTCCAGCTATCACATAGGCCCTGAGAGAATTCCAGCACCGATGGAATTTAAGTAAGGTACAGTAAGTACTATGTACGGTATATACAATACCCAGCCCGTATCTAGTAGGTAGGTAGGTACGGGTCGCATGCTCACCGCCCAAGGCCATCCGGAACAAGTCGATGCATGACTGAATCAACCGCTTCTGTTGTCTGCCTCTCTTGCCCCCATTGTTCCATCGCAACCCTCAATGTCCCTCTTGCGCGAGGCGGAGAGATGTATAGCTAATCAGGGCTCCCATGCCACCTTAAACGCTTTGATCACGACCCTACAGCACTTAGGCCCATGGCTGGAACGAGTGAGGGATGCAGATACTCGTCGTACACAGGGTAACCAACCCGCCGGTGGTGCTGGCTTGATTCTATCCCACTGTGGTCGGCGCTAATCAATTCGCTTCTCGGATCAGGTACATCTAAGTCGGCGGTAGATGGTCGTTTGATCGCCATCAAGGACAACATATGCACGCGCGATCTCCCAACAACATGTGCTTCCAACGCCCTGGACAAATTCACAAGTCCGTTCAATGCCACGGCAGTGCAACAATTAGAAGAGGCTGGGGCCATTGTGGCTGGGAAATCAAACCTTGATGAGTTCGGAATGGGCTCCCATTCCATCAATTCAAGGTTTGGGCCTGTCAGGAGTTTGCGCCGCAACCGTGATGGAGAAAGTCTTTCGGCCGGCGGTAGTTCTGGCGGGAGTGCTGTTGCTGTTGCGACAGCCCAATGCTATGCGTATGTGGCCCCTTTGGTGCAATCTCAAATGTTTTGACACCCAATGGACATGGTCTGACATGACTGGGATACTTTTAGGGCATTGGGGACTGATACGGGCGGCTCGGTCCGGCTTCCGGCTGCCTATACGGGCACGGTTGGCTTCAAGCCTTCCTACGGACTGATCTCTCGCTGGGGCGTGGTTGCATATGCTAACTCATTGGACACGGTTGGCATAATCGGCAAGGATGTTTCCAGTGTTCGGGAGGTCTTTGGTATGCATTTATTCTACGTGCCATCTTGACCTACCAGTTCAGGTTGCTAACCCTCGTTTTTAACCCAGGCGTCGTGAATCGGCCGGATTCGCGTGATCCGACCAGTCTTTCGTCCTTCACTCGGTCACGGATTGACTCGCATCTGAGATCGCCTGCTCTTGCAGCTCGGGCAACTTCGCCTCTGAAGATCGGCGTCCCACTAGAGTACAACATATCCGAACTGTCCCCTTCCGTGCTTCGGGCATGGTCACGCTCTTTGGCCTATATGCGGCGACAGGGCCATACTATTCACCCGGTGTCCCTGCCAACAACCACACTTGCCTTATCAGCTTATTATGTACTTGCACCCGCTGAAGCCTCCTCGAACCTGGCCAAATATGATGGTGTCAGGTACGGAACTCGCTCTGAAGGCCCCAATAGTGCTACGTTCCCTAGCGGTTATCTGTATGCGAGCACACGAGGGGTAGGGTTTGGATCTGAAGTCAAGAGGCGTATTTTGCTTGGTGCCTTCAGCCTCAGTGCCGATGCTATGGACAACTATTTCATCCAGGCACAACGAGTCCGTCGTCTTGTCCAGCATGACTTCGATGCCGTCTTCCGAGCACACCAACCCATAGCCTCTGGGCAGCCAGAAACGAACACGAATCCTGAAAAAGACGCAGTGGATGTCCTTATTTGCCCTACCGCTCCCTCTTCACCGCCACGCATCTCAAGTCTTATGGATCATAATCCAAGAGCATCACCCCTGGATGCATATATGAACGACGTTTTCACCGTGCCTGCCAGTCTGGCGGGTCTTCCAGCCATATCTGTCCCGGTCACTGTGGAGAGCACTATTGATTCCAGAGATGCCGATTTAGCTGGAATTCAGGTCATTGGCCAGTATGGTGATGACAGCCTTGTGTTAAAGGTCGCCGAACTGCTGGATGGCAGACATCTGTAAAAGTTTTGTTCTCATATTACGCGAATACCCAAGACGCTACTGTACAATTTAAAGAATCATATCGTCAAAATTTGGGTTGTTGCCTCAACTATCTGTAGCATTGGCCGACTGAAAACGACCCCTGATTTCAGACAGGGAGGCTTAAGGTCAATATAGCAACGTAGTGCAATGACTAGAACTTAGCGCGCTGTAAATAATCGTGTTGACCTTTCATTATGAGGTATGTTTATCGGTCATGCATTGCACGCCTCTGTGCAAGTGGTGGAGCAACATCACGTCCATCAGGACAAGGCGAGCAAATGTGAGGGCACCAGGAAGAAGACTCTCATGGCACACCGGTCAAGACATTTCAACATCGCCATCGCCATCGCCAGTCATAGCCTCTGGTACTGTAAGCAAATGCGCCTCTGTTATCGGTGTACCTCCTGCATCGGCACTCGTGGCCTCCTCAATCGCGGTATGGCCTGGATCCAGGTCCGCAAGCTGCGCTGCTTCGTTGCCAGGAAGGTTTCCGATGACCACACTCTGATTCTCTAAATCTGCAGGCATTGCAGCTTCATAAGCGGCTCCCACACCACCCTTCAACACTTCTGAGCCACCAACTGCCCCAGTACCAGAATCATCAAGCTCGGCATTATTGACAACATTGCCATCCACTCCACCCCAAACACACATGGCCTCGACCTCATCAACGATGTCGCAAACAACGTCCTCAACGATTTGTTCGTTGAACCGTTCCCCTATCCCCTGAACGGGCTCGCCGTTCTCGGTGTGAGAAGGCGGACCTACCCACCATGGGCCCTCGAAGCGGCATTCAACAGCACCTCCGCCGTAGCAGCTGACGGCAGGGTAGTAACCTATCATCCCGTCATCTGCATTTTCGCGTTCCCCAATGCCCAGATTGTTTGTGCCATTCGCAAGCCGGCTAGCGGGTGGTAAAAAGGCATACAGCTCTTTGAAAGGGGTGCCCATCTTTACACCGTTCTTGAATACCGTGATACTCGAGCCGGGCAAAGTACGTAAAGATGCATCCTCGCCATTGAATGGTGAAGGCGGCCCGAATGTTGGAGTCTCTTTGAGATTGAACGCATAATCGCGTAGCTGTTTGGTGGGGAACATATTTGACTGTTGCCAACAAAAGTCTGATTTGTAATGGAAGGGAATGCGATCACGGATTATGTTCATAGCTGATAAGGCATCTGAGCTCGGTGTCAAAGCATGGCCGTCGGCATTGTGATCATATGTTCCCTCGACCACCTTTTTGTGGAGCGAAAGTCGTGGAAGTGTAATGAGAAGACCGATCACATCGCCCTCCTGAATAGATTCGCCCTTAGGGAAGAAGTATTCGCAGCGCATCCGGTTGACCACCTCGCCGTTCACGTCACGAATCCCGTAACCATAACAATCAACGCCGACATTGACATCGAGGTCGGCCTCCCTTCGAGCAAAGCCAAGGCGAACATGGCCTCTTGATGTTAAGCCCGGTTTTCCGTTAGATGAAGGTCCTAATGAGTTATTCACAACGCCACTGATGATGCGTGTCTCATAGTAATAGGAGCCCTCCCGCGCGCACACGTTGGCGCGCGCGGTATGCCATGGCTCATTGGTGGTAACTGCAAGGGCATCCTCGCTAAAAAGGATCGCAGCTGGGGAGTCTTCAAAGCTAAAACGAGGATGATAAGGGTATACATCAGTCTGGCGGTACTTGATATGCGGGAATGCCGGGTCCGCGATGGCATAGCTATAACGAAACCCGTTCTTATTCGTAAGCTTGTCAGCAATCTCGTAAAAGTCCCAGCTTTGGCCAATTATATCCGAAACTTTTCGATTCACAAAATTCATCTGGCGAGGCTGGGGGGGTAACAGATCGGATGCTCGAGGTTCGGAGAGTAATAGAGGTCTTAGTATGCTGAGTTCTGAGCTAGGAATCGCCGCATTGTGAACAGTAACCGTTCTCTTTTTGGATGGCATATTCTCTTGGTCCAAGCCTTTGGCCTCGCGCTTTTTGCGACTATCACGTTTGGTGCGCTTTGACTTCGAGCCATCAGCTTGCGCTGAAAAATTACCCAACGGCACGGGAGAGGATCTTGCATTGGTATCCGGTAAAGAGCCGTTAAAAAAGGGTGCTCCTCCAGGGGGTAGGATCGGAGAATTCAAGTTAGACGAAGGCGCAGAAGACCCGGGCGGTTGGGTAGAAGCCATTGCTGGGGATACGGTCCCACCGCGAGGGATATCACTTTTTCTGGCAGATTATCTCGAAAGCGGCATCAAGTTGGAGACTTTGGGTGTGGAGTTTCTGCTGGCGGGGGCCAGGCGATATCTGATGTCTGTTGTGCAAGAATTGTCTCTACTGATAAACAATTATGAAGGCAGGCATGAGCTCAGATGCATCACAGGCGGATATTCCGAATCACAAAGTGCGTTGACACTGCGATCAAAATCGCTTGGCCCAGACCATCCGGGAATCCGAGGCCCGGCTGATGATGAGCGGCGCGCGATATATCTCTCTAGGGGAGTGGGGTTTTGTAGGCCTCAAATGGTACCTAAGGTCAAAGAGCGGCAAGGTCAGAGAACCATAGAGAGCCAACAAATAAGATACGTCCCTGAAGCTTGCCAAACAACGAATTCACCAAAGGTCTGGGATGCGACGAAACAATCTAAAGAGAGGCCATGTAGGAACGCCCTTCAACTCACTAGAGAAAGTCTGCTGTCGGTTCAACTTACTAGCCAATGTGATCGACACGTAGTGCACAACGGACCGACAATCCCTACAAGTCCCGGGTTAAGCGGATCAAAATCGAAGGATATCGTGCCTCGTAGCTTGCAAGCCCGTCGTCAATCGCATGTCTTGTTGTTTATTCCTTGATGGAGCCGGAAGCCCACAGGCAAAGGCGGTGGACTGAAGTAGTGCCGGCATATTTGCACAGACCCTGCGGTCCATCAGTCCAGGAGGGGTAAAAGCGGTGGATTCGGAAAGCCAATGGAGACGATCTTATCGAAGGCGGTGGGATTCGGCTCCGCTTTGCAGCGCGAAAAAAAAAAAGCGTTCGGCAGAAAGGTTGACAACACATGACCTCGAAATTTACACACATTTCCCTGAGGTTGTTTATACCTGCGCGGGCATTTGTTTCATTCTGGTGATCAGAGGGACCAGGTCTATCACTACGCACTCTTGACTCCATTAACTCCCTTCAGAAATTTCCACTCCTACCTCACAAGAGGCATCATACACTATGCCCAAAGCAACGTCCTCTCGCTCCGCCGCCGGCCGCCGGCACAACCCTCTGGCTGAGGACTATTTGACTGCCGGCCATCTGAGAACCCAATCCAGCAAAAAGTCCAAGCGGGCGTCCGATCAGAATGATGATCAAGAAAATAGCGAGCGTTTTATCGATGCGAAGATGTCCCGAAAAATCTTACAAATCGGACAGGAATTGGCCGATGAAGATGCTGCCGAGCAAAGAGCCACAACGGGCATGACTGCCGACAAGTTGAATTCAGCCTTCAATTATGAATCTCGCTTGGAGGACGACGAGGCTTTCTCTGACGACGAAAAGTTTCAGGACGATCAATGGGATGACGAAGAGGAAGTCGAGGAAGTGGTATGTCATGATGCTTTCTGTGAGTAAGCATGGAAGTAGATGTGCTAATGTGTTCCACAGGAGGTTGATCCAAATGATCTTGATATGTTCCACAAGTTCGTCCCCGGAGGCGACGAAGATCCGATATTCGATCCTCGCGGCCCGGATGCCGATGGACAGACTACAAACCTAGCCGATCTTATTTTGGAAAAGATCGCGGAACATGAAGCAAAGCAAGCCGGGGATAGGGGAGGCCCTTTTATCCAAGGTGGAGGCCTACCAGAAGACGCCGTTCAGATACCCGCAAAGGCTGTCGAAGTATATGAAAAGTGAGTTGATCCAGTTGCTCTATGTCCTTGTCGCGAAAAAAAAACTCATCCGAATCAGGGTTGGCATGATACTCTCTCGCTACAAATCAGGGCCTCTTCCGAAGCCATTCAAGATCCTTCCCTCCGTACCCAACTGGCCCACCCTTCTTCATATTACACGGCCCGAGTCATGGACGGCAAATGCTACATATGCCGGAACCAGGATCTTCATTTCGTCAAAGCCAGCTGTTGCACAGGAATTCATTTCGACGGTGCTGCTAGACCGTGTCCGAGAGGAGATCCACGAAACCAAAAAGCTTAATGTCCACACATACAATGCCTTGAAGAAGGCACTATACAAGCCCGCTTGTTTTTTCAAGGGTCTGCTATTCCCGCTGGTTTCTAGTGGAACCTGCACGCTGCGAGAAGCCCATATTGTCTCCTCTATTATCGCACGTGTCTCGATTCCCGTCTTGCATTCTGCCGCCGCATTGCTCCGTATGTGTGATCTGGCCGCTGAACAGTCCTTGCGGTCACTGGAAAGCACCGGTGCAGTCAATGTGTTCATCCGTGTCTTCTTGGAGAAGAAATATGCACTTCCGTATAAGGTGATTGATGCTCTCGTTTTCCACTTCCTTCGCTTCCGTGCTAGCGACAATGGCGAAGACGCTATGACCGACGAGCCGTCTCGGGAAGCGAACAAAGCTTATAAGCTTCCTGTTCTTTGGCATCAGTCATTGCTTGTCTTTGCACAACGCTACCGCAATGATATTACCGAGGATCAGCGAGAGGCCCTCTTAGACTTGCTCTTGGTGCGCGGGCACAAGGACATCGGGCCTGAAGTCAGGCGGGAATTGCTAGCAGGGAGAGGAAGAGGCGTAGTGGCACCAGACCCGGAGAACCAAGGTGCTGTCGATGCTGGGGACGATACGATGGACGTTACGTTATAGATGAAATGCCTCGGCACTGATCTGTAAACCAATTTGGGAGGTTGGTGTCTCTGCACATTGGAAATTTGCATCTTACTATGATTCGACCACGACTCGTGACAGGCATGGGCGTTACTATTGGGTTATTCATTTGTCACACCTACTGTTGCTTTCTTTCTTCTCGGGCATATATTCCCACGTGTTTACTTAGTTTTGTCGGACTGTCCTTACTTAATCGGCACGTTACATAAAAAAGATAGACCCAGCCACGTTTGAATGAGGACAAAAGCAGATTCCTTGTGATTGCTTCGAATATCTACTCCAACTTACAAGAGTATCAACTACAATGAGCCGTTGACCATGCCTTGTCTAGAACTTAGAGTGTGCGTCTGGCATTTTGCAATGCAAGTGAAAAAAGAAATTAAATTAAATTAAAATAAAGGGCCCGCCCCGGTCTTACCAGGATCCAGTTGATCGCCGTACTGCTACCGCTTAGCATGTCGTATCTACTAGACAGTACAGAATGCCTGCATGGGTATAGGTATGGTACTGTAGTACCAGGACACAAGTGGTGGTGCTCGGGCATACAGCTCCGGCGGGTTCAGAAAAAGTTGCGGAAGGATCAGGCCAGAACCAGAATAACTCTTGATAAAAGTCAGAAAATAGTAATAAAATCTTCTAATTCTTATAAAAATTCTAATTTTTATTAAATTTAATTATATAATTTTTTTAATTTTTATATAATTATATTATATATTTAAATATAATTTTCTGATTCTTGTGCAGCTATACTATTTTTTTTATTATTTTTAAAAAAATTTTATTTATAAGATTTTTCTTATATTTATATATATAACTATATATAGATATAATTTTATATAAACTTTTTTATTAAATTATCTAGATTTTTAAGTAAAGTCTTAGACAGTCTTAAATAAAAACTAAAGATTAAAATAAAAACTAGAGTGGCTTAATGTGATAGGATCTACTTGTCAGGGTAGAAAGCCTGTTGACTAGGTAAGGAATCAACCATGAAACACCGTGTATTTATTTAATAATGACAAAGATAGTCTATATCCACGAGATAGACTGATTCTTGAAGGATCAGTAGCTTCTTATAAAGAGATCGGTATCTTATAGATACCGGAGAGATATAGAACCACTATCGATAATCTTATGATTCTTATAATCACTATAACATGTTATCCCAATAATACAACTCTTATAATTACTATAATATATTATCTTGATAATCTTTATTCTGATAGCTGGATTATTCTATTATAAATAATACTCTTCTCTACTAGAACAAGCCACCTGGCTCGGGTGTTGAAAATAGTCTTATATATTCCTAATTTAAAATAGTGAAGATTTGATAGCAAAAGATAAAAAACTTACAGAATATATAGTATAAATAGAGTTATATATTATTTCTATATAGTTTTATAAGTATTTAGTTATATTTATATAAGTGAATCCTCTGTGAAGAAGTATAAATAAAAGAATCTTTTATATTATTTCTCTTTCTTCTTCTCTTCTACTTTGTGATTGTTGTTTTTTTAATAATTTATAATTATTCTCTTTATATTTTTTTATTATTTCGCGTGATTTTTATTATTTTTATTTATACTGTATTGCTGTTATCTTTTTCTTTGTTAGATATTAATCTTATTCTTAATTACTTCGCGATGGCAAAAAGAATAGTATGTTTTAAATAAAATATTCTTATTAAAGCCTGCTATAACTTCTGCATGCACTGTCTAAGATATATAAATAATAATTTTAATTCTAAGAAGAGTGCTCTGTATAATATTAATTATTTATTAGATATAAAGATATTTATTCTGTATTATTTCTATTCCGCGGGAAAGAAGACTTATAATTCTATAAATTTTATATACTCTGTATTATATATATATAATTTATTAATATCTCTCGAGTCTATAACTAGTCTGCTAGAAAACACTTATAATCTTATAAAGATTATTAAATAGACTACTCTGATTCTAAAGAAAGAATATTAAAATAATAATATTAAGCAGACTGTCCGCGAAGAGATTTATATTCTTACAAAGATATTTAACAGTATAAAAAATATCTATATTTATAAATTTTTATTAAAGAATATTAAGACCGCCAAGTATATAAGTTTTTATTATAATCAAAAAATAAGATCTTTATAATTTTATTATTAATATTCTGTTAGAAGTTTACTGCTGAGTATATTAAGTTTATTAAGACTTATTATATTTTTTTAATACAGTTAATTCTCTATTCTAATCTTCGCATCTTGCTGAAGAATTATTATATTTATAAAATAGAAATACTATTATATTTACTGTCTGATAATCTGGGATATATAGACTGGATTTTTACTCTGCGGAATTTTCTTGATTTAATAAGAGTTATAATATATATTTAATACCTGGATATTAATAATAATAAATCAACTTTGGATAATAAGAATAGTATTATTAAATTAATTATAAATCTCTGTATTTTTCTTCTGGAGTCTACTTTTTCTATAAATATTTTTAAGTTATAATAAGAGAGCCTGATTATTATTATTATTTATCTTATAAATAGATAATAAATATAACTAAATATATTTAAGTATTCTCTGCTATTTTATAGCAGGATAATTTTATATTTATTAGTATATTTAATTTATAATAATATAGTTAATAAAAAATATTAAGAGGTTAATATTTCTATAGCTTATTTCTTAAAAATATAGAGTGATTTATTAGTAATTATCTTCTATCTTTTTAATATATAATACTTCTTATAATATTTTTAGTATTATTTTATAGCTTCGGATATATTCTTTATATTTTTATTAAAAATTTATTAATTATACTCACTCGGCTATTCTTTCTATTTAATTAGATAGTAATTCTGACTGTTATAGTATTAATAATCTTTAACTTCTTTAATTTTTTATTTATCTTTGTTATCTAGCTCAGATATTAGAAGTGGTTTTTTATAATCTCTTTTAGTATTTTATAATTTTAATAAGAAGATATAAAATATATTATAAATTTATCTATATTTCTTAGATAAATATAACTAATATATCTGAGATCTGATATATTTAAAAATTTAAAAGAGTTTTATAAACTTTGGAGCCAGCTTTCTTGATTCTTTAAGTTATAAGTTCTGAGTTAATAACTTAACTAGATTTTTTTTTTTAAAATAGAATAGTTTTCTGTGTTTATTATAGTATTTTTTTATTTTTTTATAATTATTTACTATATCTTTTATAGCTGTTTTCTTGTTTTTTTAAGTTTCTTAATTTTATTCTATATTACTGGGACTTCTTGCTGCTGAGAATTAGTCTTAATTCTGATATAAAAATCCAACAAAAAGTTATAAAAAATATTATAAAATAATTAGTTTATAATTATATTATCTGTATTATTGCAGGCAAATTAAGTACTTAAAAAAATTAATAATTAGTTAGTATTATACTAGCTGGAATAGCATCAAAAATAGTATTTAAGTATTTAATTTATCTGTTTTATTTAATTATTAATTTAAGAATAAAATATAATTAAAAGCTTCAAGATTATATAGCTATTATAGACTAAATTTAATCAGAATTTACTAATAAAGATTAATTCTTAATTAAATATAATCCTATTTGAGGATCCGAAGATTAATTTAATTTATTTATAGAATAGTTCAGCAAGATCTGGGGCAGTTATTATAAATAAAATAATAAAGAAAAGACAGTATTTTAAGAATTGATTAATAATAATTAGAATAGTATCAACAGTCTTTCTATATTAGATAATAGAGAACAGCCCTGTAATAAAATTTATTGTTAATTTAGTAAAGAGATATAATAGAATTAATAATAATTCAAGACTGCTATATAATTAATATTTTAAAGCAGTGATTTCTTAGTATATTGAATAAGTTTGGATATATTTAGCTATATTATACTATAATCTATTTCAGTAAAACTTTCTGTGTAGCAGTGCTTCTGTTTGGGTTTTTTTAAAATATTCTGCTAATAGATTATTATAATATAGTTTAATAAGTATCTGATATAGTATCTCAGAAGAGGGGATATAGTATTAGTTTTTAAAATAGATATAATTAGTTATTTTAATAATTTAATATTTTTAGTCTGATTGCTTTTATTAAATAATAGTCTTTTATTATTATATCTCTGGATTATTATTCTACAAACGCAAGATTATCTTTTAAAGTTTGGAATTATATATATTTGAGTATAAAACTTCTGCGGTATATACTTGTGATATTATAGATTAGAAAATAAATCTTTTTTAAGATAAGTTTTTTTAAGCAGTCCAGTCAGCTGTCTCTATATCGGCTTGACTATTAGAATTTTTTAAGCTTAATATAATATAAATATCAAATCCAGAATAATCCTGCATATCTTAAGATTTAAACTAGGTTTTTTCTTTAATAAGATCTCTTATTATCAGAGATAATATATCTATAAATTATACTTAAATTAGAATTAATAGTTTCTCTTAAGAAGTAGATTTTACTTGAGATCTAGAAAATATTCTGAAGAATCTATCTGCTGGATTTAATTTTTCTGTTTTATATTTAATAATAAAATTATAGAGGATTAGACTTATAAGTTATTAAGCTTATCTTTTATTAACCCGGGTTTAATATATAAAAGATTACAAGTTTGAATAGTCTGATAGAATCTTGATTATTTAAGAAGCACTTTCTAAATATTATTACTATTATTTAAAAAAGTAAATAATAATAAATAACTCTTGATCTGAAGTACTATAATTTAGCTTGATATCAGAGAACTTATAGGATTAGAATATAACTAAATAAAATATATTCTTGATATTAGATTAGAATAGAATATTACTTATTCTTTTTTTTAATATATCAGTTTTTAAACAGCGGGATTTTGTAGGATTAAAATATATTAATAAAAATACTTATTAAAAGATAGTAATAAGACAGTAGAAAGCAGTCTGTTTAATTAAGATTAGATAGATTTTTTCTGGCTTCTGTCTGTTGATTATTTTACAAAGCAAAGAAATAAGAGATAAGATAATATAAGAGTAGTCTTAAATAAATTATTAGTAAAAATTATAGAATCTAAGAAAGATCTGGATATTATAATAACTTTTAAAAATTAGTTATAAAATAATATTATTTATCTGTCAAGAATCTATAAATACTCTGTCAGAGTCGATAATATATTCTAGAAATTTGATTTGAGATTAATAAAATAAATATTTTAATAGTTTTATATAGAGCTGAGCTTCTCAAAGTCT